TGAGTGAGCTCCCGTTGGCCAATGAGATTTTCAGAGAGGCGGGCTCAGCTGTGCTTTCATTAATGCAGTTGGCTGTAGTCCTGCTTGATGTCAAAGGGATACGCACTTTCTACACTCTCAACAGAGTCAAATTATCTCCAATCACATCGATGTGTTGTGCATAGGCAGTTTTTTGATGAAAAATATCTGAATGTTTCTGGCTGTCCAGGTCAGAAATACGGAGCTCCATGTAGTCAGTAGTTTTTCTGTGGGCTTTGCTGCTCTTGCTTACGCTCTGTGAATATTAGTATTAATGTTTTTTTTCTCACATAGACAATAAAATAAACTTTTAAATATGATAGCCAACAGTCTGGGAAAGCAGTCTTCTAAAAAGGAACAATAGCCTAATGATGCCAAATGTAATAGTTAATTTTACACTGTAGTCTACATATAGTGAACTGGACTGACTTTTTTATTATTATTATTATTATTATTATTATTATTAAAAGCTAACTCAGGATTACCTGTAGTAAAAACAACGCACATATACCATGTGTAGGTCATCCTGAGTAATAGGTCAGATTTTACTTAAAGGGGTGGTTGATCAGCTTTTTTGAAAGGCTTGATGGAGTTTATGGGGTGCAGTGTAACGTGTTAATGCTTTGTTTTTTTTGTTTTTTTTAATCATTATTTTATTTTACCTTTATTCTACACTGCGGTTTCTATTCTAGGCTGTGTTCCAGTACATTTTTTTATGCACTTCACTCGCTAACTTCCCTCCGTCTCATTTACGCGGATGTACGTTATTGATTACGTTGCATGAGTACCCACTACTGGCGGAACCCTTGGAATGGGCTGAATTGGAACGTCCTGAGCCCTTGATCACTTAGAATCCGCTATGGTTTATTTTTTTGAAGTGTGCATATGAAGCAGACTCGCTCCCTCGGTCAAAATCGAGGGGTCGAGGGTTTGTTCATATAAACTTCCCTCGTCCACTTCACAAAGTGGAATGCACTTCAAAATGGCAGCGGGGATTCGCCTGAGGGGAAGTGCTTAGGGAAGTTGGCAAGTGTGTGTCTAAAAGTGGAGTGGAACTCAGCCCTAGTCAAAACCATAGATATGTATATGTAGATGCCTCATTAGCGACTGTTACTATGGGCTGCTATACGTAACCCGTCCACCATATTCGAAGGGTCAACTTGAGGTCATTCACCATAACATTAACATAAGTTACCAATGTTTCAAAACTTGTAATATTGAGTTAATACATTTAAAAACTGTTAAAAATATATTCTTTAGCTTTCGATGCCGTCCGACTATTCTCAGTCCTTGCATGGGCCCATGGAAAGAATTATGAACATGAAGCCAATTGTCTGTTCACAAACTTCTTCAAAGTTTATTATTAGTTCAACAGATTATATAGTCACATCGTAAGGGGTGGTGCAGTGATTCCTCCAATGAGATATGGATTACATATGTCTGGTACACAAGCCAAGCAATATACGTTATATAAAATGGAAGTATGGCCAGGAAGTTCTGGACATATTAGGAGTACAACTGGCAGAAGGATACCTTTTCTCAACTGAACTATACAGTTCAGTCAGTCCAAACTCAATAACCTTCGTGCCTGTAACCCCCGTCCTCATCCGAACATTTGAACTTAGTGCATTGGAGAAAAGACAAAAAAGGAAAGAGAGAACCCTGAAGGAAGGAGGGAGCGAGACAGAAGAAAAGGAGTGAGAAGGGAGGAGGGATTGCAGAGAGGCAAACTCACAGAAACATCTGGCAGAGAGCATGATATAATTTAACAAAAACACAAACCAACACATTCTCACCTGTGAAAGGTTATCCCGTTTCTTTTTACAACCATTGGCTGTGCAGGATAGTGGCATCTTCAAATATTCATTGATTATTATGGTGAATGATGTCAAGTTGACCGTTAAAGATGGCAAACACATCTACGTGCTTAGCGCAGTCTAATGGGGCATCTACCTATACATATTTATGGTCAAAACCATAGATATATATACGTAGATTCCTCATTAGCGACTGTTTCTATGGGCCGCTATACGTAAGCCATCCGCCATATTGTAATGGTCAACTTGACGTTATTCACCATAGTAATCACTGAATATTCTAAAGATGCCACAATCCTGCACAGAACGGCTCAATGGCTCTGTGAGAACCTACAGTATGGTGAATGACGTCAAGTTGACTGTTCCAAGATGGCGAGTAGTGAGTCCCATGATTCTAGTAAATCTCAACAGTTTATACCAAGTGTAAACTGATTGTCACACTAATCGTTGGCACAAACAGGGAGCGAGAGACCCAAAGGAAGATTAAGGAAAACAGTCTGACACCGTGGTATAATGAGCACATTCGAACCCTTAAGAGAGCAGCCCAGAAAATGCAGTGCAGCTGGAGGAAAACAGCTCTTATTGCATTATAGTCCTCCACATCCACTGCGTTCTCAAAACTCTGTCTATTTGATAATACCTAGAATATCAAAATCAACTGCGGGCGGCAGATCCTTCTCCTTTTTAGCGCCCAAACTCTGGAATAAGCTACCTAACATTGTTCGGGAGGCAGACACACTCTGTCAGTTTAAATCTAGATTAAAGACCCATCTCTTTAACCTGGCTTATACACAACACACTAACACATTTCTAATATTCAAATCCGTGAAATGATTTTTAGGCTGCATTAATTAGGACAACCGGAACTGGGTACACTTCCCATAACACCCGATGTACTTGCTACATCGTTAGAAGAATGGCATCTATGCTAATATTAGTCTGTTTCTTTCTTATTCCGAGGTCACCATAGCCACCAGATCCAGTCTGTATCCAGATCA